CCCTCCATCGCCAACCACACCCTAACACACAACGGGACTGTTAGACGCAACACGAACCTGTCCCCTCACTCACTCTCCCCCCCCACCCCGCCTCATCCCCTCCTCGAAAGAGCTTCCGCGCTGAGGAAGGGTCAGTGCTGAGGGAGGGTCAGTGCTGAGGGAGAGCCGCACTGTCGGAGGGTCAGTGCTGAGGGAGCGCCGCACTGTCGGAGGGTCAGTGCTGAGGGAGCGCCGCACTGTCGGAGGGTCAGTGCTGAGGGAGTGGATGCTGGTGGAAACTATTTGTGTAACTTGTTGATGGTTAATCGAGATACTGATGTTGAAGGGCAGAAAGGTCCTTTGTTATAAAGACTGGCCCCTCACTTGTGCCTAACCCCTGTCCTGTGGCCCTATCTCTTGCTGTGATATTCTATCGACATATTGTCCTCACCATTGTGTTCGAAAATGTTTCACCCACGTCTGGAACAGGCGGGATTTGAGCACCAGTCCCTTGGGTCGGGGTAGGGACACTACCAGTGAGCCACAGGAAGGCCCCTGTTGGTACAGACGTGTGGAAATATCACGGTCAGACTGTGAGGAGTGGAACGATTGTACCCAAAGGAGATACCTGATGGCGTCAGTCCCTGCAATCGCTCTCGAAATGGTTTATCTGGAGTGCTCCGGGTGAACCCCACTCCCCCCACCCTTAATGCCCTTCTGTCAGGGTGGCCTGTATTTTCGCGAAACCCCACACAAGGCTGCTCCCCGTTTGGCTGGTGTCGGCCGCGCTTGTGAGAGGAACGCAAGACGCCAACAACAGGCGATGATTGAATGCTGTCTCACTCCCGAAAGGCCAGGGAGAACGGGTTTGAAATCCCACCGCGCTCGGTGGTGGAATATGAATTTTTAAAAAGGTCTGGAATTAACTGTTGAGGTAGTGTCCCCGCCTCCGATCTAGGAGGCCCGGGGTTCAAGTCTCCCCGGGTACTAATCCTGCGCAGGTTGACAGGGGAATATCTGCAGTAAAATAATTTTAGGAGAGGTGAGGTGGCCTCGTGGTACTGTCGCCCTGCGCTATCAATCCAGACACTTGGCTAATGTTTCAGGGGAGCCCAGGTTCGAAACCACGCTGCGACGAGATTTATAAACCACTGCTGATCGTTGGGGTAAAGCCCCCATCGGGTCCGCTCACGTCCCTTGGGGAAGGAAACCCGGCCTGGGCCTACATGTGAATCTCACGATAACCTTGAATCTGTTGTCGATTGTTGGGAAAAATCTACCCGTTTCACTCACGTCCTTTAAGGAAGGAGATCTGCCGTCCTTTACATGGTCTGGGCCTGCATGTGACTCCAGGCCCAGAGCCAATGTGGTTGACTCTGAACTGGGCTCTGGGCAATTAGGGATGGGTCAATAAATGCTAGGCCTAGTCAGCGATGCCCCCATCCTGTGAATGAAGTTTCTGAATAAAATGCAGCAAATAACACTCTGGTTGACCTCAAATTTCGTTGGGAATCACTGGACTTAATTGGGACGGAGGCTGTTAATAAAGTTGGAGGCTGTTAAATGTTCAATGGCAGCTTGAAATGGGGTCTTTTGCAGGTCAGTTCGGGTACTTTGGGGAAACAAACTCAAACAAGGCCATTCGCCTTTCATTTCCATGATCTCTGTCCGTCTCCCTCACAACCAGAAGCAACAGGAGGCCATTCAGCCCTACCCCAGCCCTTTACACAGGAGGCCATTCAGCCGCTTCCCCAGCCTGTCACACAGGGGAACAGCAGGAGGCCATTCAGCCCCTTCCCCAGCCCTGCCCTGTCATTCAATCAGATTGCTGGCTGATCTACCTCCAGATGTCATTCTCACAAGCGATTATCGGTTTCTCGGTCTGAAACGGTTCGTGAGGTGAACGTTTCCGCTCCCCTATTGGCGTGAAGAAATTTGAGAAAAGCAGCACTTGAACTCCTCAATCGGGAGAATGTCCAGAACCAACTGTATCTCAGTCCGGTGAGGCCAACACTGTGGCATGATCTTGTTAAGAAGTGGGGTTGAGAAATCCATGGGGCTGAATGGCCTCCTGCTGTCCCCAGTGCAATAGGCTGGAGTGGAGGGAGGGGCACCCAGAGAGGCTTACTATGAATGAAAGAGAGAAATCGTGGGCTGAAGGGCCTGTACTATACTGTGCTGTACTGTTCTATGTTCTAAACTCAGGCCTGAGGCCTACTCCGATCGGCATGGAAACAGGTTTGAGAGAGAAATACAGGCCTGAGGCCTACTGTGATTGGCATGGAAACAGGTCTGAGAGAGAAAAACACAGGCCTGAGGCCTACTCTGATCAGCACAGCAACAGGTTTGAGAGAGAAACACAGGCCTGAGGCCTACTCCATTTGACCTGGCGAAATGCATCAGAGCGAAGAGATGCCTGAAGAGGTCTCTCCAATTGTTGAAGCCTCAGGCCCGAGGTTGGGGGAGCAGCAGGGGAATGGGTGAGGGCCAAGGAAGGCTGTTGCGTTGCTGTTGGATCCGTGGGTGCACGCTTGAGGTTGGAAAACGGTAGGCCGAGGACGTCCAGGCCCACTTCTGCGCAGTCAGGCCTGAGAGAGGGAGCCTGGGCTTGTTCCTATTGAGGCTGGAGAGGCCCATTCGGGGACAGGCTCGAGGTCGCCTCCTGTTGCCACGAAGAGGTACCTCAGGCAGGCCCAGGGCCTCGTCCTCCAGAGGCTGACTCCCAGCCTGGCCGCGTACTTCATCTCGGGAGTGGGCATGGAGTCACACAGGGCCTCGTCCACGCACTGCCGGGGGTGGTAGCCCGCGATGTTGCTGGGGGGGAGCGGTGCATGGCCTGGCGGATCTGAGAGGCCTCCAGTGGTCCTTGGCCCTCGATACAGGCCTCGTCCAGGCGCTGGTTCAGCCATTGCTGCTCCACCAACTCCCAGCTCATCTGCGTGCTTCCAAAGGTGTCCACCTTGTGGCAGAAAGTGCGGTTAGGCGCCGGTAGAGATGGGTGTCCAGGTGGTTCAAGCTCAGGGCCGGGCGCTCCGGCTCAGGCCCCAAACCCCCACACACCACCCCTCCCGAGTCCCGGCCATTCAGCTGGAAATACAGGACATCTTCGAGCTCCCAGCACAGCAACTTCTTCAGCAGGATCAGAGACTCATCGAGAAACTCCATCAACACGACCAATGACAAAGGGGCCTCCGTCTCCTACAGACCAAACCACAGCCAGAGGGGTCGGGGGGTGGGAGTGAGAGAAACAGAGGGAAGGAGGAGGGGCAGAGAGACAAAGAGACAGAGAGA